AAATCCCCAAATCCCTAAATCCCTAAATCGCTAAATCCCCAAATCCCTATACCCCTAAACCCCTAAATCCCTAAATCCCTAAATCCCTAAATCCCTAAATCCCTAAATCCCTAAATCCCTAAACCCTTAAACCTCTAAGTCCAAAAGTCCCAAAATCCCTAAATTCTTGATTCCCTAAATCCATAAATTACCAATTTAAAATTTCCAATTCTCCAAATTTCTAAACCCCTCAAAAATATAAGACTTGCACTTCTCCAGTAAATATCTCATTTTATCTCGAGTCACCCTATATAAAGCAGTCTGAAGTCCAAACATGTTTTCGAGCATTTAATACAATTAAGGAGATTCCGACGGTAATGATTAATAATCGAACGTTATCGTTATCGTCACGAAAAAAATGACACTCGACTAGAAAATAACGTCGAGAATAGATACATTAGAGTACGAGAACACGAGATGAGATTTTTCAGGGAAAAAGGTTATCACTTACTATGTTCCGATAATGTTATAACTATGACTATCCCCTCTATTTCGGTTTGTTCAAACGGTATTTATTTCGTCGTTACTCTATTCGTACCTATCGCGGTGTACGTTGCTTACAGAAAGAACAATGTGACCCTTAATATTATGATTTTACTTTCAACAGCACTGATAAATCTATTTGCCTTCGATTATTTTTACTTTTATCGATACAATGTTCCTGGTATCGATAAATAGCAAGTAATTCTTCGAACATACGTTATCATTCTGAATAGGAAAAGTTAGATTCAATTTTGCAATTAACATCAAGTTTCCTTTTAGAATATCTGAGGATTTATATTATAAAAGTAGTATTTTTAGAAACATGGTATAATTTTGGATAAATTTTGATTAACATGAAATTTTATTATATACATAAGTTTATTTTGTGTTATAGAAATGGTGCAAATTTTTTAAAACATAAAATTTTATTATGTACATAATTTTATTTTATGTTAATGAAATGGTAAAAATGTTTAAAAACATGAAATTTTATTGTATGCTTAATAAATTTATTTTATGTTAAATATGAAATGGTGTAAATTTTTAAAAACATGAAATTTAATAGTATACTGTTACGTTCCGAACAGGAATCTTTTTCAAAATTTCCTTTGTAGTTTTGACCGACTGGATGTGTATCGATAATGCGTATTGCATTCTGGGAACACCCTGATCGAACGCAGTAACGGTCTTTCAATGTTTATTAGATAGACAATCTTTTGGCGACTAAACTATGATTGTTAATATAACACATTCCTTCCTTGAAATCAACGTGGTCCCACGGCTAAAATCTTAGATCATTTCATTTCTCCGAACCGCCGAATATAAACGGAAGTCACACTCGTGTGGTCCGATAACGCCAAGCGTTCTGGAATGTTCCTCAAGGGCCCGCGACGCAATATAAAATTGTAATAGAAATTGTCTTTGCAACACTACAAAATTATATAAATTACCCATAGTATTTCTTTATACCGTTATTATGAATACGCATTATCGATACACATCGGGTCGGTCAAAACTACAAAGGAAATTTTGAAGAAGATTCCTATTCGGAACGTAACAATACATACATCAATTTATTTTATATTATAAAGATGGTAGAATTTTTTAAAAAGATGAAATTTTATTGTATACCTAATAAATTTATTTCATGTTGTAGGAATGGTACAATTTTTTAAAAACATGAAATTTAATTGTGTACATAATAAATTTATATACTGATTAGCTGCATGTAGTATTTTATTAATAATCACAGACGTAATTATTAATGTGGCTTGCCACAGATGGCTGCATTCGCTGTTTTAATATATCATTGATCGCCACAGAGGAGATAGACATATGTGGTAAGACAACGCGTTGAGCGCCACAGTAGATCCAGACGTACCCAGATACAATACATACGAACTTCATGCTGTCATCTCGGTACAAACCGGTCCTTTCATTATGTCCTAACCTCGCTAAACTAAATAAATTCGTCAAATAAATCCCAAAAATTCAACTACATAATTTCAATAATATTTAATAAATATTTCATAACGAAAAATTCGATCAAAGCATATTTATAATGAATCATTGAAAGAGGTATTCGAACAATATTCCATTGATATCAATATCTATAAATCAATGACTGTAAACAGTAACTCTAAACAGTGACTGTATCCCACATACCTTAATAAACTAAATTTTACTTAAATTATATATTTACTCAAATTTTAATTTGCTAAATTATATTTGAAATTATTGAAACACCGATAGCAGAGTAAAGGAAAGGAAAATAAGTAAGTAGCAAGATAACTGTTCCTTTTTACAGTTACCTCATAATTCGTCCGATGTTGTCGAGATATCGTTATCACATTGAAATTCGTTCGCGCATACAATTACATATCCCACGTACGCGTTAAACTGTAGTTTTTCATTATTCCGCTATCGACGGAGAACAATGTCGCATCCTACACGAACAGCATCTTGTGTCTCAGGCGTGTCGGCCAATCGATACTCGTGCCATTGCTCCGGAAGTGATCCTTCGGAATCGAGACAGGCGGCTGAAGTGACGTCATTTCGAGCGAAATAGCAATACGAGAGAACGGGTGTTGCGTGGGTGTACGTAATGGGCTCATAGGAGCATTAAAAAAGCTTCGAGAAGGAAGCACGCTTCATAGTCAGCTAATATCGCCCATTGTCTTATATGCAAACCGGAGAAACCATTAACGCAATATTTCTTTTCGACCTTTTAAAGGTTCTGTGGGTATCTTTTGGCCGAGGACTGTAGAGATGGACTGTTTGCATTTTGATTGTTTAATTGATTGTTTAAATACTAGCAAATGTTCTTAAGTTTCCAAATTTATAAATATGCAAATTCTCAAGTCGCAAGGTTTAAATCTTTGAACCTCACATTTAATATCAAAATCATGAAACTACTCTAATCAGAAAATACATAAATTTCTAAAGAGATCAGATTTCAAGATCCTCAAATCTCCAAAATTCTAAATTCAGAGATTCAACATGGGCGAATTTTTAAATCTCCAAATTTTCAAATCTCTAAATTGGTATATTCCAAAGTCACTAGAATCTCAGAGCAACTAAATTCCTATACCTCCCTTATTTCTATAATCCACCAATTCCCAAAATTCCCAAAATCTCCAAAATCCCCAAAATCCTTAAATTCCCCCAAATCCCCAATATCCTTAATTCCCTAAATTCCCCAAAATTCCTAAAATCCCTAACATCCCCAAAGTCCCCAAAATCTCTAAAATCCCCAATATCCCTAAAATCCCTAAATTTCCCAGAATCCCCAATATCCCCAAAACCCCCAATATCACTAAATTCTCCCAAATCCCCAAAATTCCTAAATTCTCCCAAATCCCCAAAATCTCTAAATTCTCCCAAATCCCCAAAACTCTCAAAATCCCCAAAACCCCAAAATCCCTAAATTCCCTAATTCCAAAACTAAATACCATATCCCCAAATCCCCTAAATTCCCAAATTTCCAACCAAGATTCCTAAAACCCCAAAAATTCCGAAACTTCAAGTTCGTAAACTTGAAAATCTACGAAGTCTACGACGCAAGGCGTATTTTCCCTAGGGATGTGTACCACGGTCTTAGATCTTTTGCACGAGATCTTGGGGCCTGTTTCGTGAAAACGAATTTATTAGAGTTGACCGCAAAACCGAAAGCGAGCCGGTAAAACGATAGTGCTCGTATTTCGTGGAAACACGCAACGATTCGTGCAATACGTCTTCTAGAGGGGTGGGGACGAAAAAAAGGGTCACGTGTCTGACAGCACCTCTCTCGTTGCAAAGTTTCTAACCGGCAAATTAATACATTCCAGGACAGTGATTGGCCAACACCCTGGATCATGTCTGGACACCCGTTATGCTAATTTAATAAGTGTCGTTCCATATAAATTCAACGTTTTCATCTAGCGTTTTCTCGGCATTATCGACCGTCATGCTATTTCGCATGTACGTTAGAACGCGTCGCACCGAGACATTGGAGTTTAAGTAATGAAAATCCTTGCGGAATATCATCGATGAAAGTGAAACGATATTCTGACGTGTACGCATGACACTTTCATTATTTCGATTGCTGTGATACGATTTTATCACTGTACTTTGTAATCGAACGATATGTACACTTTGATCGCTTTAATTTCTTACATTATACATTCGCTTCGTGTTCGGTTAATGATGCCATTATTTTATCAGACTCTCGTACAATCGAAAGTAGGTGTGTTTGAAATATGATCCAAAGATAGAGCATGCTCGTTAGCATTGATTTGTATATGCAAAAACCTGTGATATATCGAGTAGAGGTTAAGTCAGTAAGGTTAGACTAGGATTGATTTTAAGTTAGGGTCTAGGTTAATTTAGGTTGGATCAATTTATGTTAGATTGCTTTAGGATAGGTTAGTTGTGAATAGGTTGAGTTAGATCAACGTAAAGTTACGTTAAATTTGATCAAGGTTGAGTAGAGTAAATTATATTGTCGATCAGTTAGGGATTATGGTCGGTGTCAGGGCAGTTACAGGCGAAGTTACGTCGAGATTACGTTAGAGGTTGAGTTACAACCTGTATACCATATCTAACGATCAAATTAAAGAACCATGAACTTCCTTATTTCGAGGAATTGCATAACTATCAGGCGTATTTTGAATAAGTATATCCGTGATAACTGTATAAAATTTGAATCAGATCAGCGTTCCGAAGGTCGTGCACTCCCCCCGTTAGGTTAACGACACGCTACGCTCGCTGCGGGCACCGCGCATTCGCGTTGCATTCACTTAATGCTCTATCGATATCTATATGAATCGAGAAATATTCGACAGCCCTTTTAATTTGTCGGGTTAACGACACACGTTCGATCATCGGCGCGCACTCGATGTCACGCGTGCGGATCGCCCATTATATGGGTAGAATATCGTGGGCGCACGGCACGCGAGCTAACACGACCCACACAACCGTGTCAGGTTACGTAAGCTTACCTGCATCAGAGGTAGAACGTGGCCGGGATCGACGGATTTGCTCGTCTCCTTCCTCGGCGTCGGCTCGTCCTTCGTCGCGTCCCCGGAACGAATCTCCATTTCCGTTTTTTGTTCCGGTAATCGGTTCTCGGCGTTACGATTCACCTCCTCCATGATCGGGCCAACCTCTCTCGCTGATCCTCACCACTGTTCTCTCCTTCTTGCGAGGAAAGAAATCGAACCACCGCCGGTTACAGATTAAAAAAGAACGGATGATCGATCGATTCACTGAGAACGAACGTTGTCTCCGGAATGTTCTTGGTCGCGGAACTAGCACTTTTACGAGGAACGGCGTCGTAACGTACGGTCGCGTGTCACGTGGTCGGACAAGGCAGGGAAAATCGAGAAGTACGTTCGCGTCGCGCACAATCGGGGAAAAGCGGAAACGGCGAGACGCACACGCGTGTACGCAACAGTGCGTGCGTTCGGTGGTGACGATCGAAGGAAGTCAACGACGATTACGGAAAAGAACAACGAGACGACCGGCGGGATTCGACACTGCGAGGATCTCGTGCTACACGGTCCCGGCGTGATGTCGCCCCACCCGACGCGACCCGAACGCCGCGTAACTACCCCTACCACACGGCCAAGCGATCCGCGCGTCTGCCCGAATTTGCCCGAAAGCTACCGGCACCTAGAGACGTCTCTCGACAGAAACCAGCGCCACGGCCAACGCGGAAAATTCGATAACGTTTTCCTTTTCTTTCCCCGACAATTTACACCCGTTTCGTCATCGCCGATCTCGACGTATTTCCACGGAATCTCGCTCTGGACGTTGCCACGAACGCACGTGGTCGCTCGACGCGTTCGTCATCGCGCCGCTTAGCGTCGCATCGATCACCGTCCACGGACGTTTCGAATTTGATCAAATAATTTAAATGCACAGAGCGAAATAATTATATGACCACGTGCAATAGGTACGATAAATTCAAACGTTCAAATAATTGAGTTTTAATGTCCGCAGAAATTTATTCTGGACGTGCGCCGTGTCAGACATGGCTGCATCTACTGCGATCACGCGCTAACGCCTGCCATGGTGGTTGCGCTGCAATTACAGTTAGATACGGAAATAAACTTCTTACTCCTAACATCGAGTTCATTACTAAATTAAATGGAACTGAAAAATTAACTGTACTTCTGGAAATCTAGTACGTCAAATGTCACTCGGGAACATGTTAGGAATCAATACTGGCACGGCCTTAAAATATTCTATTTTCGTGTCTTTATTGGGACGTACATTCCTTTTTTTACGTATATTGTTTAAGAACGCATAATAAATTACATGCAGTAAGGTTCGAATATTGCACAATTTTCCTGCTACGTGTCACATTATCTGAAAATTATAATTGTAAATTTATTTCAGGGTAAAAACAGAGCATAGATATTCGTATCATAATTACACGCGTATTATATAATAATAATTAACAAAGTGTCTTTCGAAAGATTAAGAAAATAAATGTGACATTTAATCGGTAATAATGAAACTCACCTGCAACAAGCATTGTTGCAATCAATTCCAAAAAGGATTTATCCCGCGCGGAATCTGAAAGATGACTATTTACTCAGACATTTCCAATTTTTTCCGTTTTTATTTAAACAGCTTGTCATTACCATACTAATAAAGTAAACTCTCGCTTAACTCGCATTTTTCAAAGGCTAATGCGTTTTACCTGGACAACAGCTGCGCGACTGCACTCGACTGAACGGACGAGGTAGACCCGTTAAATGCCACTGCACCTTCGCTGCATTGCGTATCAGCCGGTAACTTTTGCTCGCTTTTGCGCTGGCAATTGCATCCCGTCTACACGGTCCCGGCGTGATGTCGCCCCACCCGACGCGACCCGAACGCCGCGTAACTACCCCTACCACACGGCCAAGCGATCCGCGCGTCTGCCCGAATTTGCCCGAAAGCTACCGGCACCTAGAGACGTCTCTCGACAGAAACCAGCGCCACGGCCAACGCGGAAAATTCGATAACGTTTTCCTTTTCTTTCCCCGACAATTTACACCCGTTTCGTCATCGCCGATCTCGACGTATTTCCACGGAATCTCGCTCTGGACGTTGCCACGAACGCACGTGGTCGCTCGACGCGTTCGTCATCGCGCCGCTTAGCGTCGCATCGATCACCGTCCACGGACGTTTCGAATTTGATCAAATAATTTAAATGCACAGAGCGAAATAATTATATGACCACGTGCAATAGGTACGATAAATTCAAACGTTCAAATAATTGAGTTTTAATGTCCGCAGAAATTTATTCTGGACGTGCGCCGTGTCAGACATGGCTGCATCTACTGCGATCACGCGCTAACGCCTGCCATGGTGGTTGCGCTGCAATTACAGTTAGATACGGAAATAAACTTCTTACTCCTAACATCGAGTTCATTACTAAATTAAATGGAACTGAAAAATTAACTGTACTTCTGGAAATCTAGTACGTCAAATGTCACTCGGGAACATGTTAGGAATCAATACTGGCACGGCCTTAAAATATTCTATTTTCGTGTCTTTATTGGGACGTACATTCCTTTTTTTACGTATATTGTTTAAGAACGCATAATAAATTACATGCAGTAAGGTTCGAATATTGCACAATTTTCCTGCTACGTGTCACATTATCTGAAAATTATAATTGTAAATTTATTTCAGGGTAAAAACAGAGCATAGATATTCGTATCATAATTACACGCGTATTATATAATAATAATTAACAAAGTGTCTTTCGAAAGATTAAGAAAATAAATGTGACATTTAATCGGTAATAATGAAACTCACCTGCAACAAGCATTGTTGCAATCAATTCCAAAAAGGATTTATCCCGCGCGGAATCTGAAAGATGACTATTTACTCAGACATTTCCAATTTTTTCCGTTTTTATTTAAACAGCTTGTCATTACCATACTAATAAAGTAAACTCTCGCTTAACTCGCATTTTTCAAAGGCTAATGCGTTTTACCTGGACAACAGCTGCGCGACTGCACTCGACTGAACGGACGAGGTAGACCCGTTAAATGCCACTGCACCTTCGCTGCATTGCGTATCAGCCGGTAACTTTTGCTCGCTTTTGCGCTGGCAATTGCATCCCGTTTCGTGTGGCACGAATATTCAGGTAGAATGAAATCCAGACGGAATCGTAGAAAGCGTTAACGAGTCTGCTCTCAGAGTTTTTATAGTCTGATGGTTTCATTGTTATATTACCCATTTCTTCCTTATTATTACACTGCAGATTTACAGTACGATTTTACTAGTTAATTTTGCTAGTTAAGATGATAATGTGGTGATACAGAGAAAGTTAATAATTAAGCTCTGTTCGCTTAAATAAAATTCAATATTTTGAAAATAGATTTGACGTTGCAGTGATTGCAAGTGGTACCTTTAAAACATTAATGTTGTTTCACAGGCGTAGCTTTAGACGGCAAACAAAATTATTTTTCGATAAGATAAAAACGCAGCTGTAAGTTTCGAAAGCGTCGTAAACACGTCACTGGTCGATGGAAATTTTTACGATCGACCAATCAGTGCAGAGGGAAAACAATATTAAGCCGCGCTGCATCGCTCCATGAAAACGTCATTTTACGGGCTGAGCGTTGTGAATCAGCATAATAAAATCGCCGCGCACGATTGTCGAATCGCAACTAGCTCGACACGTGCCCAGAAATTTAATTAACGTTTCGGTAACTCATTAACTGATGAGGGTCACTGGCGCTAGGGAAATAATTACAAAATAAAAGAACTCAACACGATAAGTAGTTCAAATTAGCTTAATGAAAAGAAAGCGTTAGCTTAGGTTCATCAAAGTTCAAATTTTTAGTGAAATTGAATTGTAATTTCATCTGAAGTTGAATTATAATTCTATCTAAAATCAAAGCAAAATTTACTATAAATTTGAAACGAATTAACAATTGCAGAGAGGAACTTTATTCTCGGCATCGTTAATAATCCGCGTGTCTGACTAGACACGTCTGAATCTACTGTGTCTGTTTCCCAACTCGCACGCGCACGTTATTCCGTATTTATTCAAAAGTCCGCCGAAAATAAAAGAAGGAAAACAAGTTGGCAATAACGTGAACCATTAATCTCGACGAGTATCATAAATTTGATAAGAACCATATTAAGGAACGCAGCCGTTATTCGTAACCGAGTACCATAAGTTCTCGTTTGTTGTTTCGAATGTATGAAGTGGTTCGATAGCAAAACGTAAATGTACGTTTCTTTTTCGATCGTTCTATTTATATGCAATTCACTGCGAGATACTCAAGACGATTACATCATCGTAATTGAAACGACAGATTTATCCATAACATTTATTAATTATACGCTTTAATTGGCGAGATAGCTTGTTTTTCATTGATACGGTTTGAAGAATTACATCTTAAAAATATGATGGTTTATTGTATTATTTGTTAACGAGATTTCTTTTAATTTTTTGTTAAATTATTAAAAGGGTTCTGTTATAGTCTCTTTTTTTAAGTCTGTACAGGAGTTTTTACAATTTTATGTTCAGACGATTTTAAGTTCATTGATGTGGCTGAATATTGGAAGACATTTCACGCGTAGTAATTCCATGCGTGGTAACCCCAACGCGTAGTAACTTCACGCGTAGTAATTCCATGCGTGGTGACTCCAATGCGTACAAATTTCACGCGTGGTAATTCCAACGCGTAGTAATTCCATGCGTGGTA